ACAGGAAGCAGCAGTTGCAAACTGGGTTTTTGCAAACAATGCATCACACTTAGAGAGATCCGAAGCATAGTAACTATGTGCTGAGATGCATGTTGCACAATGTTATTTTTGAATAAAATGTGATTTTTTTCAACAACTAATTTGTATTTCTTCATTTACTGTATTTCTGTGTACTCAAGCAAACTTTCTCTGCAGAAACCACCATGTACAGAGCATAGCCCATAACAGATGAAAATGCTTTAGATTATGCTCAGCAGTTTGTAGTTGGGTGGTCAAACCATCTAGTATTATGAATGAAGTGTGTTATATTTGGTGCAAAAGTTTGCATTTGGTAAGTGTTTATGTAGTTTTGAGTGCAGTTCTTCATTTAGCAGGAGAAATTAGGTGTTTTGCACTTTGGGTGTGTGGTTTTGTGAATTGTGTTTAGTGTTTTGAGAAACTGAGCAATTTAAAAAGAGTCTTGTGTTAGCAATCGAGAAAAACTGTAACACATAAGTCAGGACTGTAAGAAAAACTAGACATTTTCATATTCTCGGTTGATATTTTGTTCTGCTATTGGTTTGTTCCTTTCTACCTCTTCATCTAGTTATATTTTCCGCATTTCCTGCATGAATAGAGGATAGGATGTGTTTTGACACTACATTAGCTTCTATATGTTCCAGCATCATGTGTTTCACCCTGTGAGGCATGCACAGTATTGCATACAGTATAAACAAACACACACAATAAGGAGGTCATCTTGAGGTGTGACACTGAGCCAAGCTGGGGTATATACAGTATGTGTGTGTGTGGGTGTGTGTGTGTGTGTGTGTGTGTGTGTGTGTGTGTGTGTGTGTGTGTGTGTGTGTGTGTGTGTGTGTGTGTGTGTGTGAAAATGAGAGGTATGTGTGTGTGTGTGTGTGTGTGTGTGTGTGTGTGTGTGTGTGTGTGTGTGTGTGTGTGTGTGTGTGTGTGTGTGTGTGTGTGTGTGTGTGTGTGTGTATGCACCCTTGTGGATTGTGTTTTGTTCACTTGTTTTCCTTTCTCATAATCGTTAGGCGGGCTGTACGTCACTGCAATCATGGATATCCATGTTCACATTTCCATAAAGGGCACAAGTCAAAAAATCTATCACTAGTGATAAACAGAGCACAACACAAGGAGTATTATCTCAGTCAATGTAACCCCTTGAGGATAAATAAACTCCCATGAACCATGTAAACAAACTAAGGAGTCCTTCAACGTGAAAATCCTTGAACACTACAGGAAGGATGAGATAAGGCCAAAAAACCAGGGTATAGCTTGTGCACATGCATAAGGACATGGACACACATACCCAAAAGCTTCACCTGCAAGTATTCTGCCAACGTCTATCCAAGGAATCACCAACTGTTTTATTTTGAAATAATGTTATGTAGCAATGTGAATGTTCCAAGGTTGTCCCTTCAATCCGTGTGTTATACAACTTAATCGTTTAATTCATTAACACGCCTATGACGACAACGAGTTGTATATTTATTCCTATGTCCATTTGTATGAGTCAGGCAAGAATATGTTGCTTATAAATTGATCTTTGGCCTTTTACTGTCTGACAGTTGTACAACAAACAGGAATAAATACAAACATTCACACATGTGTTTATACTGGCCGTACTCTGTTTTCCGTCTAGCTCAGAAAGCATCCAACCTACATGGTCAACTCAATCGGAATCACATTTTTCTTATTCAATTCCCTGACTCAGTTAAGCCGAAGATAAGATTTGGAAAATGGAACAATGAAAGCCAACCGCTGTGGCTAACAGACCAGCCTGTCTGTGTAGATGGTCAGGTCCAAATGAAATTAGCGACAAAGGGATGGTCCCCTAAACACAAATCTGCTGTGGAAAGGGAAATCCTGTAAAGGTTATTTTTTTTTATCTCATTTGAATTAGATTGTCCCTCACTCAAAGGGAGAGATAGAGAGGGGGAGGGGGCAGTGGGAGAAGGAGGGTTGGAGGGTGTAGTATTTTGCATGACCTAAGGAGAGGGTCGTGGTAAATGAAAACAGACTGATGCATGCGTCGGACCGATCCCACAGAGGTAGTAGGCAGCGTTTGGCCCAGCCCCAAATGAGAACCGTGAGAGGAAACGATGATGACTACAGCGCGTAGATCGGCAGTTGGAAGCGAGAGGTGCCCTGGTTGCTCGGTTTGAACGGTGAACACAAGTGCCTGCCAGCACCCGTAGGCTACACATCCAAGGCACCGGAGAGCTTTAAATCGTACAGTTGGATCGGAGAGGGATATGGTCCAATATTTCTCTCTCATCTTCTCCACTCTGATTTTTGGTTTTGAGATGCAGCTCATGTTGTGCCATCCTGTCAGCGCGGTAAACTTTACGGCATATGAGTCAAATGTAACTTGTTAAAAGTGCCAAAAGAAAGAGACAAGTTAATTCACTAAAAATGTCAACGACGTACCTTAGCTCTCAAGCGCCCAACCAGAGCTACCTATCGACGGCTACCTACGAGAAGACAGACCCCTCGGAGATGGAGAGGCAAATTCGCCTTCTGCTTTTCGGCTTGTGCGTAATCATCGCTGCTGCTACCCTTGTCGGAGGTGTGTATTCGCTGCTCTCACTCCTCCGGTTGAGGAGAAAAAGCTCCTTGTGTCTTATCGTGGCTTCTATGTCAGTGGACGATCTCCTCAGTGTGGTCCCTCTGTCCTTGTTCATGCTCCTGCAGTGGGAGAGAGATGGAGGTGGATGGTCGGGCAACCTGTGCACTTTATCTGGACTTCTGTACGTGTTCCAGGGTGTTTCAAGCAATATGAAGGCATGCCTCATAGTAGCTTACACTTTTTATGTCACCAAGAGATTTGGAGTACTCCAATCTGTCCGCCGGCCACTAAGAATGATGTGGGCCATTGCCGGTGTTTGGGCAGTGAGCCTCGCCGTTAGTGTGTTACCTTTGTGCGGATGGGGAAGCGTTACGCCTGCCCCTCTCGGGTGTTTCCCAGAGAGCGACAGTTTTTACACCCTGATGTTGTTCTCTTTATATTCCATGTGTTTCTGCGGCATGTTATTTTTCTTTACCCCCCTCACCTATCAGCTGCTGTGCTCTAGGGAGCCCCAGAGGACTTTACTGTACCCCAGCTATTCGGAGATGGCGAGGGGACTGAGTGGCTCTGCCCCCCTCTGTGACCTTCCTTCTTTTTCCCGGGACAGCCTAAACAAAAGTTTCGGGGCCTACAACGAGCTGAGCCCGAGTTCATGCGGGACGAAGATCGTGGAGAAAGAAGACAGTGGTTTGTCCCCAGTGTCTGTCAGCGGGCAGAGGACAGCTGCTATCGGGGATACACCAGTGGTGTTTGCACAAAAACGCTTCTCCATGATCCTTGCGGTTGTCCGAGTTATTTTATGGATGCCAATGATGGTAAGTAGCGTAATAAATTCAAATTATTCTAAATTAGTGTGTAAAAAAACTTCCCTGTGATGGAAAAGAAAGACATTTTAAGCTATCCCTTTTTGATGGAGACCCATTGCAAAACCTCTTGAAGCAACACTAAACCACAGTATTAATTACATGTATTTACAGTTTGGAAAGCATTTGGACATCCTATCATAGTTTGTGGTCTCATAAGAAATGTTAAACCGTGACATTTAAAGAACACACGACGATGTCCTATTAAATTAACTTCCATTACAGGCCTTGAGTAAAATAATTTGCCATGTTTTAGTCAACCCCGAAAGGGCAGCATTCATTGGGTTGCATTTTGAAATACCTTATAAGAGCATTTGTTCTTGCTCAATCAAAACGTTAATTTGATGTAACAAAATCTGCAGTGCAGCCAGCAGAAAATTGATGGGAAAACCGAATTGGCAAGCCAAACTTGCAACACTGAAAAACGAGCAAAGCCAAAGATTTGATGATATGATATGGTGGACATTTTAATTGTACATTAGTTTGTTTGGTTTTCCAAGAAACAAACATGCCTTTCCAAAGATGATTTGTCTAGTGGTATCTTTTTGTATTGCTTATGTTTGTAATACAGATATATAATACATATTTCTGTTTATTTTCCATTTAGAAGAGTCATAGACCGTTCAATATGTGCTTCTCAAGAAAATGAAAAACAAAAAAAGCACAGTTTGGGCCTCATTTCCATCCATGTGCCTCCCTCCCAATATGTCCTCATGCATATTGAATCACGGACTGCTCAGTGAATTTATCTTCTATTTCCCTTCATTCACAGACGTTGGTGCTTGTGCGCCACGCAGTAAATGCACGCAGCTCATCCCTGGAGACGCTGAGCTTCTTTCTTACTCTGCTTGCCCCTGCGGTCACTCCATTATTCGTGCTGTCTGAGCGCTGGATCCATATGCCATGCGGCTGCTTCATTAATTGCAAACAGGATCCAACGCAGGAACCCTCAGGTAAACAAAATCAAGTGTATGTCTACATAATAAACCCTTATTTCCCCATTTTGCTACCCTTTAAAGGAGAGGGAAGTAAAGTTATAACACAATTATCCTTAATTACTTTTTCACAGTGATGAAAAGAAGATTTGAGTTCAACCTTTCCATCCAACAAGGCTATGGAGTATACAAGTTGTCACATGCCACTATGCCTCATAACAGTCCACCTCTTGGGAAGCCTGACCTTCACAGCTTCTTTAACTGTGACTTCCCCATTACCCGCCTTGAGACACTAGAAAGCGGCGGGCTCCTCAGCCTAGGTCCTGATTTTGATTTCAGCACCACATTCCCTGTGGACAGGTCCTCTCAAGCAGACCTTCCATTGGAAGCAGTGGCCAGTGGAGGAGCGGCGCTGACTGATTGTCTTTCACTTCCTCGTGAACACCACGGAGATGAAGGCGACCGCTGTGTCCCTTCACATCACAAGGAGCAGGATCACAATCTCACCGATACGTCATTTGTGTTCGAGGGCCCAGAGAGGAGGCTGTCGCATGAGGAGTGTCGGAAAATCGAGCTGACAGACTGGGAGTGGTGCAGGAGTAAATCAGAGAGAACACCAAGACAGGTACTGCTCTGTCAAGAGTCTCCAGTTTATTAACCTGATGTTGAACCATTAAATTAAGTAATTTGTATCTGTCATTCTGTGGTTTATGGATGCCAATAATTGCTTTTCCAACCTCACTCTCGAGTGTTTCCTAGTTAAACAACAGCTGCATTAGCAGTCAACATAAGCATGCTCTCTAGAGAATATCGTTTAGGAGTGATTAGCATCTAAGTACCATAAAATGGTTGGATTCGATCTCACTTTCTGTGTTTACATTTAGTTTACAATGCAGTCTTGCTGCATTGCTAAGTACAGAGAAACAGACACAAGGCTATAGGATACATTTTTTACATGACAAGGCTTTAGAGAAGAGAGTGCATTTTTATCTGTCTGACTTATTGTTTATTGGTCTGTTGCTCAGTGAGGTTGTTTTTTTTCCGCATCTGTGAATATGCCTCTTTATAATCAAGCTGACAGACGGTGGCCTTGTGATTTAGATAACATTGTAAAAATCCTCTCTCCCTTAGCCTCTCTTCTCTCTCAGCAGATCTTGTTTGTGCTAAGCATCAATGGATTCCGACTAATAGACCAATTGATCAAAATACTATCAACAGCTACCACTTCAGTAACAAATGCCAGCCTGTCATTCAAAACAATATACATTCATTTCTATCCCACTCTAAAATCAGAACAACTCTCAAGGCTTAGTTCAGTTCATTAACTTACTCTTGTGGGTTTTCTCTCTTTTTGTAGGCAGTGTTTACTGTTTCAAAATCAGTTTTAGTTAGATTTATCCACTCAAGGTTAGCTCCCCTTGTGTGTGTTTGTGAATGGTTTTGTGCAAAGCTGTAATGTGGCATGAAATCAAATGAAAAAGAAAAACTAAAACAGGAATCCAACACATGCTGTTTATCCATATATTTATAGAGCAGAGTTGCATGTTAAGTAACATTGTGCTCATACAGGTATTATTTACTTAGTCACTCAAAAGATGCAAAATGAAGTAGAAGTCAAATACCGCTAAATGTAAACCATCCACAGCTCAAGACAGTTTGCTACTGGCACAAAACATCTCTCTCCACTAATACATTTTTGTGATTCCAGATGTTTATTTCTGTCCTTGAGTTGCTGGACTTACTGTAATACAATTGTTCAATAAGGACAAAATAGCCTTTATTTACCCTTTAAGACCTGCATTTTCCCCAGTTCCCCCGGCTGACTTTATTTTCTTGAAGAGGCTTTAGCAGGTTTAGGAGGCTATTAATGCTACAAAGTTAGGATACATTTTGCTGAGGGAAACATTGGCATGGATTTATTCACAGGGGTCCCTTGACTTTTCACCAAAGCTGAGAAAATATGCAAGCCACGAGCACATGCTCCGACTTATTATGTCTCTCTTCCTCTCTGTCTCTTTTTTACTTACAAGTCTGAAAATGTTTCGGGTTTGAAATCACTAGAGGTTGGGAAATGTGTGTGTGTGTGTGTGTGTGTGTGTGTGTGTGTGTGTGTGTGTGTGTGTGTGTGTGTGTGTGTGTGTGTGTGTGGCCTACTTCTCATCTACATTTTTCTTCTCCTGCAAAACTATGTATATTGTGCTCCCTTAGGCTGTGCTGTGTTCATTGATTGGGGTCCTTATATACAAGTACAGTATAGACAAACAGCAAATACAATAAATAACTAAAAGCTGTCCAAATCTAGCAACCACCCCCTTCCCAAACACAGTCACGAAAGACAAAGTTTGTGATTTGAAAGCGCTTCCTGCCAAGGTTTTGTTCCTCGTTAACAGGATAGATGTCATTACCCAGCGTCTGTTCTCCTTACTGCCAGCCCCTTTGGCCTTCAGTGTCCTCGGGGAGAGGTGGAATTAAAGCTCAAAGACATATTTACCCTCTCAGTGACTTTATGCTCTCTACTTGAAAACAAAGGGCTTAGGGCGCACTCAAAAGCCCACTCCCAGACAAAAACAAGATCTAATGTGCAATCATGCAGGGAACTGAAACCTGTTTACTTTGAGAACACATCCTGATCTGTAAATAAGTGTTGTTCTCTCCAATAGGTTACAAGGTGGATAATGAGAAAAACGATTGAATCGGAATGGATTGGAAAGATAGCACAACACTAATCAATAACATGTCAGGATCTGCAGCCATCGTTAACAAATATTGAACATCACTTATGTTGCTTATATAAAGTGGGTATGCAGTTCTGTGAGAATTTACTCAGAAAAAGCAGTGATTTGAACTGAATGCTAAACTTTAGCCTGCTAAGATGATCACAATGCTCACTCATATATTTTGCAGATATATTTACTATGTTTATCATCTCTGTTGTGTTGGGTTTGCCTATTAGTTGGTGGAATTCTTTTTGAGAGCAACATGAATGTCTGGGCCAAATTTGTAGTCATATCATTATACTGGAATGAGCTAATAGGTCATAAAAAGGTCATTCATTTTCTGCAGACCTTTATGAATGTAAATTGCATGACAATCCATTCAAAAGTTATAATCCTGTCAGGAAGAAGTGCCAGCTGCAAAATATGCATAATGGAAATATTTGCCCAGATTTCATGCAGGTTATACATATATTAAAATTACACTTAGAAATAACATTTGAAAATGAGAGAATAGCAACATTGCATGTAATAAAAACATGTAGGCCTAAATTGTGTCCACACACTCACACACACACGGCATTATTGATTTTTACTTGACAATTTGTTTTCATCTTAGCATGGTAGTCTCTCTCTCCCTCCAAGTCTCTCTCCTTGCACAATGACAAGAAAACAGACAGAGTCAGGGAGATTGACATCCTCTTTGTTCCTGCTGTGCGTCATAATCACAATCAGATCATTACGTTGAACTCATCTAAATAATTTAGAGGGCTTAATGAGACCTGCCAGTCTCCCCACTGTGGCAGCATACTTCTTCTTCCCCCTGCCAGAAAAATGAATTTGCTCAAATGATCATGTGACAGAGGCTCACATTGATTTACTGTGGAGTGAAATAATCTCCATGAAATAAATATGACTGGAAAATCTGAAATCTGATTTGAAATGAGAGTGAGAAACCCAGAGGAAATTTGATTAATGTTTAATACACTGAAATTATGTTATTCAAATTAAATTAGTAAGAATAACATTTCTGACAATGGCTAAATGGCTCATGAATTGTATACAGCTTTCTGCTGTGCGCCTAACAAATCTTTATTCTACCAAGCAGCAATGACAAGGCTAACCATATTTAACTTTTTGATTTAAATGGTTGGTTGACACATAGATCTCCCTGCTATTGACATCAAGGACACAATCTAAGCTCAATTAGTTTGGACAAAGGAAACATTTTTCTTTGTTTTTCTTCTCAATTACATGATAAGCAGCCATATGGAATTTAGTAAAATGCATAATATTATTCTCGACTAATGGGACCAAGTTAATACATAAATAAAGATGTTGTGCTGGATATTCACTGAACTTTTTCTTGCATTTTCGTTTTGTTTTTATGCAGCGGTCATCAGGTGGTCTGTCAATACCCCTGTGCGCCTTTCAGGGCACCGTATCTCTGCAAGCCCCCACTGGGACCCTCTCTCTTTCCACCTATGAAGTCTGCAGTGACGGACTCAAAATCTCCCCCAACAATGCCAAGAAGGTAATAAACATCAAAATGGACCGTACTTATTCATATGAATGAAAATGAAATATGCGTATTGCTTTCTTGGTGTATGTCAGATAAAAGGATTGATATCACTCTTATGTCAGTGCAAGTACAGAAGTTGTGTATATCTGACTCAGCAAAATAAATAATTTGATTTATTTTGCCGATTCAGACATACAGCCGTCTCAAGTGTAATTCCCAAAATGTCAAACTATTCCTTTAACAATTGTCTTCTATTTGACCTACTAGTTCACATAGGTTTTGTTAATGTCCCATTGACAACTTGGGCAGATATGTAAGATAAAGAATGAATTGCATTGTGACCCCATACTTTTTATAAATAACTTGGATTATAAATCTGCTTCAAAGGTGGAGGTGTATCGCTCCAAATCAGTTGGCCACGAGCCCAGTGCAGACGAATCATCATCAGGAGGCAAGGCTGGAGACGTGAATGTCAGCAGTGTAGGGATGGGCGTGGGGATCGGACTGGGGATGGGCATCGGATCTGGTGTGGGGGACACCAACGTGAAGATCCACCTTGAGGTGCTAGAGATCTGTGACAACGAGGAGGCCATGGACAGTGTCTCCATCATCTCCAACATCAGCCAGTCCTCCACCCACACCCGCTCGCCATCACTGCGCTACTCACGAAGGGAAAACCGCTTTGTCTCCTGCGACCTTGGGGAGACGGCTTCCTACTCTCTGCTCATCCCCAGCAGTGGCAACCTGGAGGCAGAAACCATCAATATCAACATACCTGACACTGTAGAGGCTCATCGGCAGAACAGCCGGCGGCAAACACCGGAGAGCTCTGGGTATCATGAGGAGATACAGCTGCTCAACGAGGCCTACAGGAAGCAAGATGGGGAGAGGGAAGAGTGACAGAGATATCCAGATAACAAGAAGTGTCTCTTAGGAACAGCTTGAAAGAGCCCCTCTGATAGCAAATGAAAGACACATTTTCTAATCATTCCACATTTATGTATGTTATGTATAGACCTGAGAGAGGTGACAAAATGAGAGACTTTATAATTTTTCTCATACAAAGGCTGCACAGTGTCAGGAGTTTCCCTTTCACACACTCAACAGGATATTGTCCATATCCGAAACATTGCCACTAAATGGAGTCCATTAGTCTGGGTAGAGCCTGCAGGAGGCCAGACAAATAACAGACAGATTACACCTCGTTCACATGGATGGTTCGTAATTTGACAGAAACTTCGTGCATCAGTCCTTGCACACAGAAGTCCCTGAATCTCATTGTATTTCCAGTTTCTCCAATTTCAAGCCAGCCACCATAGAAATGCCATGAACGCGCCGACTCGCTGTCCGTGAATGGTACAACGAGCAGCTCTATTAACACATGGACTCAAAGCAGACAACACACAAGGTTTGCTCCTGGGAGCTGGCAGGTTAAAGTCTGTAATGTGTGATTCAAGCAATCTGGCTTTTGTGTTCTCACATACAGCTCCTCTGGGTATGGTATAGATCATTTCAGGGTTGCAGCGCATGTGTGAAAGGGACTTTAGCTTAAGAGTTTTATTACAGTCCGTTTGCTTACTCTTGTACTTCCGCTTTAGATGAAATCACAAGAGCTAATGCATCACCTGTCTGTGTGTAGAGTAAGTTAAAAACAGATAATTCTTCAAAGGAAGATACAAAAAAAAGAAAAAGGTAGGAGATATCAACAGTATTTCAGGTGAGCATTTCTTGTGTCACCATTTAGCAGCCTGCATCTTACCGAAAATGGATACAGGGAGAGAGACATTCACTAAGACGATGCGGTGCCAGGCTGAAGTCACAAGTCTGATATGAAGCCACTCTTGCAGACTACGTCATTGGTGATTCAGCCATGAGGGGAAGGGTCATCTGACCCATGTGTCTGACTCATTTCAGTGTGTGTTGTTGTGCATTGTTGTGTGTAGTAGCCTGGCCCATAACAATGAGGCTATTAGAATTATGGTTTCAGATGTCATCTAAAATTCACATGTTTCTTTCTTGTAAATGTTTTTATCCTGCATAATTTTATTGTATCTGTGGTGTGTTTTCTTTTGAGTCCAGGTGATATGTCTGTGCATTTAGAAATATGTTGCCAATGAGAGGGACACTATACATCTTAAAAATATCAAAAAGGATAGTACAGGCAAACGATTAGAGTGAAAGTGCAAGCGATTATTGTAGAAGTAGTCAAGAGTGCTGTTTTCTGCCTCATGCACATTTAGTGAAATCGAAATATGTCACAGTGTGTATTTGTTAACAGTATAGGCACTAGGCAGCAAATGAATGTACATTTTAGAGCCACTTTGGGGGATCATTTCCCTAACTGCTCGGTTCACTGCCCATCCAATCAGTGAGAAAAAATGGTCTATCACTTTCTACATGCATACATTCTGGACTAAAATGTTATAGATATTATTATATATTTCAGTACTGTTTTTGGTAGCCTGGAATTGTACGGAGCCCTAGAGGACATGGAGAAGAAGAAAAAAATGTATTTGAAAAAAAAGAAAAGAAAATGTTTTGCGAGATATCGCAAAACTTTTCATTTAGCTCAATACGGTCAGTTCGGCAACACAGAAACCACAGAAACCACAACCATCGGTTAATCGATTTTACTTTGAGCTTGGCCTTAAATATAAAGATATAACATCAGTGCTTAATAGGCACGGGTTTCACTTAAGTGAAGGACACCTCAAGAGAACACTCAGAGCGAGGGGACATGCACGTTGCAAAGCATGCTCTGAGCTGAGTAATTGACAGATTCGAATTTCGCGGATCAATAACTCATGAACATAATGTTCTCCATGTCCCCTAGGGGGCTCCGTACTATTCCGAGTGCTACCCGGCAAAATGTAAAAAGAAAGTAATGTACAGGCGTATGAATCATAATGAATGTAACGTTTTATTCAATGTCAACCATTTGAGATGTTAATGGTGCCAAAGGTTTTCAATTGAGCAGCTTCATCTCCACAGCCTAACCAAGAGGAAATAATTTGATCATCTGCTTATTCTCACTTTCAAACAGGACAACAGTTCAGCTTCTGGTCAAGCATTCTCATAAATCCTTGTGATTAATAAACTGCTATTTGCTTTGTTTGAAATTGGTAGTTCCACATTAGCTGTACAATTGCATGTCTTGTCGACCGTCTCACTGATATAGTAACACACAAACCACTCAATTGTATTCTTTAGTAGCCCTACTTACTAAAAGAAAATATAGTGCAATAATACCTAGATACGTAGGCTACTGTTGCTGCCATCATTGGTTGTTGTTCCCCTGGATGAAAGTAATACAAACATAGATACATATACCACATAGATATTTTTGTAATTCTCTTTTGTGAGTGAGAATTTGCTGACATAAAATGAGCAGGAAAGACAAATACATATATTTTAGGAGGGTTTCACAAATTATACTTTGTACAGATATTTGGTAATGTGCCTTTGTGGAATGAGAATACATGGAGAAAAACCGGAAAGCAAATAGCAATAGCAAATCAGGTAAAAAAATTAAAAAGGGCATATTGCAGAAAAAGCAAATAATATAAATAAAACTTTAGTTATCAAAGGACCTGGACAGAAGCCATTCCAAATGTTTTACCATGTCTCTCTGATACAAGGATTTACACCTCCCACTCACAACTTCTGATTTTGCTGAAGCAAGAAGGTGGAGGTAAGCCTGGATTGAGAAGTAACACGAGACCTCTACTCCAACACATACAGGCCTATGCCAGGAGAAAAGAAAAAACAACCAATGTTAAAATATGATGCTTTTCATCTTGGTTAAATAATTTATTACGGTCAGAGATCCTGTGTTTGCAGCAGCCTTGAGGGTATATGAAAACAAGGTGTGCAGGAGAATCATGCATCTGCAGCATCATGAGAGTAGGGGGAGGGGGCTAGCATGCGAAAGGCCTTTCTTCACTCACATCTTCGTGTTTCCACAAGCTCTCTACTACTCAAAAGGCTTCCTCATATCGCTCTCTCCTGACATATCTCTGCTATATTCTCAGCTGGTTATTATACTCTCCTCTTCTAGTGTTTTCCACTATTTTCCTGAATTGCTTACTCTCTGAATCCATTGAGATTTAAGTTAGGCTAATTCCAGTTTGTATTTCCTGCTGAAATAGAGGATGAAGACTGAAAAAAACATTAAAAAGGCTTATCTCTCACACAATGTGACAATAGTTAATTTAATCTGGAAATTCTATTTTCACTGTAACTGAGCTGCTGTGTAGCTGCATTTCTAAAATGGTTGATAACACTATGCATGCTGACATGAACACATTGTCACATCCTAAATGATGACAGAAAAGGGGAGTGTGTGAAGAAGAGAAATAGATTTAAAAGTGGTGATGCATGATATTTCATGACAGATGAGGGTGGGATAAATCCACCGCAAATGACGCTCACACCTTTCATTCCTGTTTATTTTCTCTTGTCCCTGCAATCTTAGCACTAATTAGGTGAATATTGCTTTTATTTTTAAAAGACAACATTTAGAAGGAGAGAGTAGAACAAACGCATCTCTAACTCATTTAATATTCCAGCTAATTTAAACAAGAGGTTTCTCCCAATTAGAGATATGCTCCAACTGTGGGCATTCATTAACAAACAGGGTGAGTGAAGGGCGAAGAATAAAGTAAATGTAAAATAGAAAATAAAATAAGAAACATAACCCGTTATTGATTGCATTAAATCTGTTGCCTTCCAATTGTAAATCACTGACTCTAGTGTTGCCATGTTTGTTTTCAGACTTAGACATGATGAGTTAAGATCAAGCTTCACATACAGACGTGATGTAGTGTCAAGTTAACAATAAATTGCTCGAGAAAAATTGTGTTTTAATAATAGGTAGCATAATTAGTCCAGTGGAAAGCTGCCGTTTTAAGGCCCTGACAAACCAAGCCGAAATCGGCCGTTTTCGTTAGTCGGACGACGAAGCGTGCCCTGTCCCCCAAACTCAATTTGGTGTGTCTCGCACATGGGTCCCGCACCGTCGGCCGTGACACGCCTTATTTGGCCTTTCATGGCTGACGCATGTTGAATCGGCCATGCGTCGGCCGCAGGCAGTCGGCCAAAGAAATCACTCCGATTGGCTGTTCAGCTAGCGAATCAGTGCATGAGAAGCGAAACGGAAGTGAGGGACAAACGATTTAAGAAGGCACACACAGAGACGGCTATTCATTTTCATCTCATCGGTTTATTTGTCATCATGGCGATCTGGAATGAAGCAAACGAAGACCTGCTCATCACCTTGATCCAGGAGAGGCCAGCTCTGTACAGAGAAAAAGTACTCGAACCGAGTAGTGAAAACCGGACTCTGGCGAGAGATTGAAACTCAACTTGGTTTCTCAGGTAATATTCTCTTTTTCTTTTTTTCATCAATTGAGCTCTTTAGCAGAAACTATTTTTTTTTTTATTGTTTGCCAGCGTACGTGAAATGTAATTTGTTATTTCAACCTTGCTTTTTGTTGTTATCTTGTTGCTAGCTGTTGCTACTTGTTTGGCACTGCAGATATGAATTGGACATGCTAGCAACTAGCCACAATGCTTACATCGTTTATTTGTGTGCTTCAGAGAAAGAGCTGAGGAAGAAGTGGGATTCTCTGCGAACTGAGTACACCCGGTACAGGAAACTTGCCTGGAAGGAGAGTACTTCGAACCTCCCCATCACGGTAACTATTTTATTTGTTGAGTACAAATACGTGTTTCTTGCTTCTTTCATTTGCAAAAACATTATTTTCATTCATTTGGTGGTTACAGTGGTAAATATAACAATAACAGAATAATATATATATTATTGTATTATAATTATTGATGTGCTTCACCTTAATGTTGCAGCTGGTAAAGGAGGAGCTAATTTAAATTACATATGATATACTGCTGGGTAGCTTATGAAATTCACCATGGGATCAATAACGTTGTTATCTTAACCTATAATAATACATGATAAAATATGTCTTGATTATATTTTGTAGTGTTCTGAATCTTCTAGAAGTATGTCTTTAGCATCTGAATAGAGCCATCACAATATGTCTACAATGTGCCTCTCACACTTGACCACACCCCGAACTAATGGCACACACATTTCAGAGTATTGTTTTGTTATGAATGCTTAGTAAACAGTTTTAAGAAGCCATGGTATTAAATCCAACTAACTGTGAATTTATTTAACATTTTTTTAAGGAACGTCCGGAGGCTGCAGAATCACCCCCCGGTGGCACCAGCAGTGGCACCAGCAATGAAACCTCGACCAGCACCACTGAGGAGCCCTTCAACTTTGATGCTGAGCCCTGCACTCCCCTGTTAGAATCCACCATCTGCACCACACCGGCACCGCTCAGAGAGAGGCCAAGCACACTCAGCACTGGAAGGCCTCCGGCGAAGCGCAGGATGATGCAGGATTCGCAGGAGGATTCCGCCGTTGAGGCATTAAAAACAATGCCGGCGGAGATAAAATTAAGACTGGCAGAGTTGGCCCCGAGTGGACCTGATGATGAAATCGCTGCCCATTGCAAAGTGTTTGAGCACAGACTGCGGCTGATGACACCTCATCAGATGCAACGCTTCCTGAATCAGATGCAAAATACCTTCTTCGAGTACTTAAATGAAACCACTTTCTTTAGTCTCTAGACATTTCACTTGTCTTCACATGGGACTCGTTTTTTTCAACTTAAAGTTCACTCCTTTTTAAAGATGTGGCTAATTCTTTTTACAGACAGTTGTGTCAATAATTTCTTTTTTTGTATTTTTTTTTTGTATTGCATAGTATTTTTATCGTATTGTATTTTTGTTGATTGTTTACTTTTTGTATTATTATTGTTTATTTTGATAATAAACCACTTTTTTACCGCTGCAAAATGCTAAACTTTATTTCGTACCTTCATACATTCATACCTCCATACATTCAATTTAGCAAGAAGTGGCCATTATTCAGATGGGTGTTTCTGCAGGATAGGCAATGCAAAACTTTATTTCGTACCTTCATACTACAGCCATTACATAACACAACATAGAATTATTATTTCTGCTTCAGAGAGCTGAAGTGGAGGAGCTGATTTAAATTACATTATATGAAATTCACAATGGGATCAATAAAATGTTATCTTAACCTATAATAATACATGATAAAATATACTCTTGATTATATTTTGTAGTAGTTCTGAATCTTCAAAGTTAACTGAAGTTATCAGATAAATGTAGCGCGGTATAAAGTACACTGAATGGGAGTGGAGCAGCAATA